CTTGACACATGTTGACACCCAAACCATCGAACCATTGAGTCATAGCACAGGGGGCAACTCAGAACTCCCAATGGTCAGAACTTGTCAGAACTCAGAGGCAGCATCTCAGCCTAAGCGTCACGGCCACCCAGTGGGCCGCAAACAACTCAAGATGCCATGAGTCAACAATCGCTTGCGATCATTTTCTGTTCCGCAGCATTCAGCTTGACCATTCTTGAACATGGATCACGTTAAATTAATCTTGTAAAAGAAAGTGTGACCATGGTTTCTTGAAGTGTGCGGTGAAAAAAAAGAAAACTCCTCAGTCCAATCATTCAAACACCTAAATGTCTTCAATCCCACGCCTTGTTTCTTTTCTCTCGACCGTTGTTACAGACCTGACAGACCGGACTGCGTGGATCGAGCGCTCGCATGCGCTCGCGCGCGGGGTCTTCTGCCTTGGCTGAACAGGTCCCTTCTCGTGATTGCATGTAATACTGGGTGGCGTGATGAATGCCTGTCAAGCAGTGGAAGGGTTGGGGATGCAGAGGCTCGCAGAGGCTGAAAACCACCTTTTGAAGCTATGTGATCCACTCAGGTGTTGATGTGAAAAGCATGAACCTCTTGGGGTGTCTTTCAACCACCCTGCCCCAAAAGGAGTCCATCAAGAGTTGCGTCAAGGAGGTGCAGAGGGACAGCCAAGTTGTGAGAGCAGTGTCTGAAAGAAGTGTGGATTTGATCAGGTGATCTGCTCTTTTACCTGGGTAAATCGCCCGACATCTGGGGAACCGGTTCCTTGAACTAGGTAAATCCCCTTTCAGGTGATGTGGTATTTTCCCGAACTAGGTGAAATCCCCCAAACACTGGGGAGTGTTTCTTTGATCTTTTTGTCCCGGTTCCCGGGCAGCAAATCCAAGCAATGTGTGCATCCTGGGCAGCAAATCAGGTGGTGCTTTTGAACAGGTTCTTTTCATCGATTGAAGTGTCCAAGGGTCAGACTCATAGCAGAAGATTTCTCGGAGTCTGGCCAAGAAGATGTTGTTCTTGTTGCCTCTGAAGCGAACCGTCCAGGACAGGACAGTTTATATATGTAGTCGTTTTTCCAATGATGTAGACGACCTCAAACGCATGAGCCAACGGATTGGCCTAGTTTTATGGCAATTGATGGATTTGTTTTCTCATGCTCCACACTTTCTTGCAGGGAGCACAACCTGCTGAAGCAGGTTTTCAGGGTTCTTCCTTTAAATCTGCTACTTCCGCAGCCCAGTGGGCGGAGTAGTTGAATGGAGTCGCTGGCACAGTGTAACAAGAACGATCCTATGAGGCAACAACTTCTGAATGGGGCAGACGTACAGTTACAGGGTAGAAACCATTTCAATATGTTAATTTGCACAAATGATAAATTGATATGGTTAAATTGATATGAGCATTATACTCCTCTACTTCACGGTTTTGGTGCCCAGGAATATTGATTATTTTTTTGGATGATGAGAGAACTGTAGGATTCGAAAGTGAGTGATAGACCCATCATCAAATCGATATGTAAGACTCTTTTTCGTTGGAGGGCGCAGACGCACAGCGGCACATGCCCCTGATCCATCACAGCCCGGCTGAGGCATCCGTTTTGACTCAGAGGGGCTCTGTTTTGACCTCCAAACACATGAATAAGATCGGACTCTTAAGGAGGTCCACCCATAGTGCCTTTTGTGAGGGAATGGTTTCAGATAGCCTATGATAGCTCTCTTCTCATGGTTCTTTTATGCTTTTCTGTCCGAACTGGAGGCCATTGGTACGGAGTCCGAGATGCGGCGCTTACAGGTGGAGGCCGGGGAGATCCCCCGGGACGCGCGCGCGGTGTGTGGCCGGTAACGGCTGGTTGCGGCTGAAGAGGGGATCCAACAAGATTCTTCTGCATTCAGAAGACCAAATAAGGTGTTCTCAAAGCAAACTGTGATATGTGATGTAGCAAGGTATTGCAAGTATATTCTAATAAATAGGGTGCCCAGAATCACTCATTCGGCAAGTGCTTAAAGTCTATCCAAGCATGGTTTCAATATATAACAAGGGTTCTTCCGCACACGGGTGCCCCATATTCCCCAGTAATTAAGATAAAAACAAAACTGACATGGGCGTTGCAAAACCTATTCAGGTGGCCATGCCATCCACTTCGAGCATAACGGTTGTAGTCCTCCGGTCTGAAGATTCACTTCAACCTTGTTGCAGAGGAAGGTGTGGATGAGCTGAATCTTGGAACATTGCAATATTTGGATACCCTCCATGGGACTAACATGGAAGTGGACAACCACCTGCTTGTAGTGGAAAATGGTCTTCCAAGGGGCCATTCTCCACTTCCATGTTAGTTCCAGGAGTGTATACTTGGCAGATTTGCGTGATATGATTGGGTTGACCCACAGGGGTGACTTGGGTTGAGTGCTTGACTTCTCTTGACTTGATATGATTTCCAATAGACCTGCTGTCAGATAGGCCCATTTCAAGAGCTGGACCCAACACTCGCTCAACACACGCTCCTGAACGCAACCTGGCCACCTGGATGCAACTGCTACAACGAACATGAAAGTGGATGGCACGGCCTCCCCCTTAGAAGACCATGTTCCTCTACAAACAGATACAAACAGTTTTTGTTCCTGATTCCATAGTTTAGTTCCGAGCGAATCTCATGATGATCATACCTTTGTGACACGTCTTGTGACCGTCTTGTTCCACGTCGAACTTGGATACACGTTCGCTCTCCCGAGTTCGGAGGTCGCTGCCAGCTCTCGCCGCTCGTCGGGTCGCCCGCCTGGTCGCTCCGCGTCGCCATCGGCCGGGCGTCCTCTTCATCGGTCCAGGCCTTGGAGGCCAAAGCTGAAGTCTCTCGGTGTCAACAGGCGCCACGAGCGGCACCGGAGGTCGCCGCGAGAAGAGGGAAGACGGCGGTTCGCGAGGGGTTCGGTGCGTGGCGGTTCGGTTCGTGGCAGCGGGGTTCGGTGAAGGTTTGTGGCAGTGGTCTGTGGGGGTTCTCCTTGGTGCTGCCAGGCAACTGATGAGGTGGTGGGCAGTGTGGTGCTGCCAGGTCAAATCTGAGAGAGGTGATTGTATGGAAACAGATGCTTGGAAACCGCGAGGAGCCCAACGTCAAATATTGCATGGATACCATGCTGCAAGTGCCTGGAAACACTAAGAGCTCTGGGAGTGGGCCAGGATGCAGTCTTAGCATCGATGGAAGTCATGGAATGACGGGGTTCAAACAACTTGACAGCCTATGACAGCCTTGCACGATGTTGTGCTACTATCTTTCCATTGCCGGGTATAATACGCATAGATGTAAAACTGCATTATACACAACATGATTTGTTCAATAAATGAGTCTCAAGAGCCACGGAACCTTTTGAACCCTCGAGTGTTCCTGAAAAAGCAAAAACAAACAACACACTCCACCCCCCCGTCCAGCTCGACGTTTGTTTCATGAACCCAAAAAGCACGCCAAAGCCTGCAACACGCAAAAAACACTCCCGTCGCTCGCTCCTCCGTGCGTTGAGTTCGGTGGCGAGTTCGGTAGTGTTGGCTGCTGCATCTTCCGGCGGTCGGCGTCCTTCCTCTCCGGTGCCGGTCCCGGGTGGGCGACGTCGGCGCTGTCTACGCCGGCCGCGGCGAGGAGCTGGAGCAGATGCGGCACAAGTTCAACTCGGAGGCCTCACAGACGCGGTGCCTCGGACGTTCCGGGTTCCGGTCGGTTCTGCCGCCGGGTCGAAGGCCGGGAAGCCGGCGGGTCGATGAGGGAGAATGAGAAGCTAGAGAAGGGGGTCAAAGCAGCTGTAGCATGATGGAAGCTTCCCATCCAGCTGGAAGTGGAGATATCTATGCTTTTGGTGGCTGAAGATCTTTGCATGTGCAGAGTATTGAGTTCGTGGCTGGTACCTTCCGGGACGAGAGTGGAAGTCGAATCGACGTCCTCGGGTCCCCTGTCGTCCGACGACACCAGCGGTGCGGATCCGACACCCTGCGAGACAGTCGATGCCATGTGTCTTTCGGTGGCACACCCACTAAAGGCAAGAAGAAACGTACGAGTGCCATGTTCTTCAACTCAGAATCCGTAGGAACTGCGGGGCTTTTGCGCTTCTTTGGGACGGGTCGAAGCCTGCGAACATCCAGAAAGCGCATCGACGTTTCTCTTTCTGTATGGCTCAGAAGGGAGCGGAGGAAAGACATGGAAGTCAACACTGATGCAGCTGAGGGCAGATAGGGCAGCTGAGGCAGCTTGTCCCACTGCAGGTGATTCCTGCAAGAAGATTCTTCGACTGAACCGGACCCAATAAGAAGAGCCATGGGCGGTAAAGGTGGGAAGGGAAAAGGAAAGACGCAGAGCAGCTTGGAACGCAACTGATGGCTAGAGTGGGTACATGCGTGTGTGGATGTTATAGTATCATAATAGAATCTTATAGAATCTTATAGATCCATGATATTGTTCATTGTGTTATATAATACACACATCAATGAGGACGTTCGTCAAAACATGTCAAAGCCTGTGACCTGAACTCCTCCGAGACCAACTCTTGGTGCAAAAAGAGCCAAGGGCCACTGGTGTTGGCTCAATCCACGTGCCACACGTGCTGTTGTTTCTTTGTTTTCCTGTCTCTGGGACAAGCTGACCGGCTCATTTGTTGCGGTGGCTTCGAGTCCATTTCAAGCATCTCCGCCTCCCAAAACCCAGCTGACTCGAAACCGCTTGGCTACGCTCTTCATCGTTCGTAACCGCCGGATGTTTGGACAGGGTTTAGAACGGTCCCCAAAAGCCGATTCCCAGACACGACTAATGGGACTGGCATATTATAGATTGGGGTGGTTGACTGGGGGTCTTTCTGGGGCGGCAGTCCAGCCTGGCAGTCCCAGACAGGTCGTGTCTGGGATTTGGGGATTTGTGCCCTAAGAATCGAGGACCTTCAGTTCGGTGAAGGTTTGGTTCGGGTCCAAGTGACCCTGCACACAGGGTCCAAAAGCCGGTCGCAGGGTCCAATGATTCTTAGGGTGGCACAGTTTCCAGTCGACCTTTTCTACTTGGCGGAGTTTACTTTTCGACACTTTTCCCACGATGGGTCTAACTGGGAGAATGCCCTGTCAACCTTCAACTCGTCGGACGTCTAGACCGTAGATGGGATGGGTAAGCAGGAGACTGACTGGTGGACAGAGATTTTGAGACAGGCAAAGTGATGTTCCGAAATGGCAATGGCAACATCCGACTTCTGCTGATTTCCGACTTCTGCTGATCTCATCCGACTTCTTTTCGCTCCGATGTCACCGGAGGGAGATACCCCCAATGTTCTCGTTGGCCGTTGGTCGACTCAGCGACCGTGCGGCGAAACGCTGCGATCGTTAGTCGGATCGTTTCTAAGGCTGGACTACGGTTCAGACGCTTGAACTTGGATGAGCAGCCCTTTTTTTTGAGGGAGGTTTTTGTGGCGGATGAAGAGGGATGCAGCTGATGATCAGCGATGTGCGTGTTTCGATTTTTTTTTCTATCTCAAGCAACCTGACAATAGACGTTGTCAAACAGGGATGGATCACTTCCTTTTTTGGGTCGAGCTCCAGTTTTTCAGGTCGAATACACGCTATACTGGCTACAAAGTGCTACAAATATATCCTGTAGACACTTGGAAACGGATCGAATTAGATCCTCTTTGACACACAGCTTTCCTTTTGTGGGCTACCCCAAAGAGTGTCATAGGCATTCCGCTCCTGTGAAATCCTGTGAAACATTTATTCACCTCACTGTTGGCTCCTCGGTCGCTCTTACCTCCTCGGTCGCTCCAGGCACTTTTCAACGTCCGAAACTCGCGTCCGACACGCGGCGCTGGACGGTGCAGGAAGCCCATGCTCAAGCGGAGCAACAACTGGGAGTCCCGTGGAAATACCTCGCGCGCACCGGCGCGCTACGAAGCACCACCGGCCGCGGTGAAGGTGCTGAAGAAGGCCCAGCTGCGAGTTGATTTTCGGGTGCAATGAGACAGTTTGCTTGGCTCAGATCCTCCCTCACCATACCTAAAGTCCTGCTAGTGAACCTAATATCGTTCGCAACTGCAGGAGTACTTGTATAGAAGGGAAGCATTAGGGAAGCATGGGAGTACCCGGGGGTTGTTGTTGCAGAACTCCTTCGTTCTTCCCATCTCGTCCTCTGGCCAGCCAGGCCAACTGGCTCAACCGACAAGGCCCAGCGGGGCCGAAACCGCGCGAACCGCGCGAACCGCGACGGCTGCACCGGGTGTTTGCGGTGCCGAACCGCCGGGGGTTCGGTCGGGGCTCGTTGGCGTTGAGGGCGTCGGGGTTTGCGTCGATGGTTGTTGTTGTTTTTTTTTTTCTGAGCGACAATGCTCACTGGATCGATTTTCAGAGTGAGGTGATTCTCTGGATTTCTCTGGTGGTTGGAGCTTGTTGGGACTCAGCTACTGTAATACTGTACGTAAAACGCCTCAAGAAACACGTGCTTGTGATATCCTGGGACTTGGTGGCCATCTTGGATTTCGAGAAGCTTTGGGACCCGGAGAGAAGGACGTGGTCGCTTCCCATAGTGACAAACAGTGGTGATGATATACAAAGAAACTGATATCGTTGATTCGTTGATTGTTAATTCTTGGTTTTGCCTGGGGTCTTCTATTTTCCCACAGATGAAACCCCTAATCTTTCAGAATAGGTGTTCTTTTGCCGGTTCCTGGACTAAGCAAATCCCTGGCACCACCCCTGCACATCCATGGACCACTCACTTGAGATCACCTGTTTTCACACCCTCATTTGCACCCACATCGATGCGGAGCCATGGGCACACTGTCGACAGCCGAAAGGTCAGAAGTTGAGCGAGTTGATGGCCTTCCACTGCCTTCATAGCATCCGGATATCCTCCCTACATATGTCTCTTCCTTCGGAGTACCTCTTGGGCGAAAGATTTGTGCAAGGTTTCGCGATCTGTTCATGCGAAAGAAGGTTATATAACGCTTGCAAAATCAGTTCTGTCCACGAAAGGCTTGCGAATGAGAGAGTGAATGAATTAATGACTGACTGACTGACTGACTGAGTGACTGAATGAATGAATGAATAAATGAATGAACGAATGAATGAATGAATTAAATGAAATGAAACGAAACAAAACGAAATGGAATAAGTAAATGAAGTGGAGTGGAGCGGAATGGAAAGGACATGAAAAGAGCTGAAACGAAACCAATGAATGAATGAAACCAAATGAATGAATGGAATGGAATGGAACGCAAATGGAAAGGATTGCTGAATGAATGAGTGAATGAATGAATGAATGAATGAATGAAAATAAAAATACACTAATGAATTAAGGAGTGAATGAATGAATGGAATGGAATGAAATGAAATGAAATGAATTGAAATGAAATGAAATGATGAAAGAATGACAGAATGAATGAATGAAATAAAACATAAATTAATGAATGAATGAGTGAATGAATGAGTGGAATTGAACGGAATGGAATGACATGAAATGAAATGAAATGATGAAAGAATGACAGAATGAATGAATGAATGAAATGAATGACATGAATGAAATGAAGGAAATGAAACGAAATGAAAGGAAAGGACCGGAAGGGAAAGGAAAGGGAAGGAAAGGATGAATGAATGAATGAATGAATGAATGATTGAATGATTGAATGATGAAGAGAAATGAAATGGAAAAAGTAATGAGGGAATGAATGAACGAACGGAATGAAATGAATGAATGAAAAGAAATGAAAATGAAAATGAAAATAAACGAAATGAAATGAAACAATGAAATGAAATGAAATGAAAGAAAGAATGAAAGAAAGAAAGAATGAATGAATGAAATGAATGAAATGAAATGAAGTGATATGAATGAAAGAATGACTGAATGAATGAATGAATGAGTGAGTGAGTGAAATGAAATATTTGCAATGAAATGAAATGATATGAATGGAATGACATGAAATGAAATGAATGGATTGAAACGAAATGAATGACATGAATGAATGAATAAACGAACGAACGAATGAATGAACGAAATGAAATGAAATGATATGACATGAAACGAAACGAATTGAATTGGAATTGAACTGATTGAATGCATGAATGAAAGGAATGAATGAAGTGAAATTAAATGAAAAACAGAAAGTACACAAAGAAAAATGAAATGAAATGAAATGGAATGAGTGAATGAATGAACGAATGAATGAATCTTTCTGTCCAATTTTTGCACAGAATGCAGCGTGCGAAAACCAAAACGCAAGCCAATCTTCCAATCATACCTTCTGCGCAGCGGCTTGCAGGAACATAGACAGCGTAGACCCGAGGAAGACCAATTTCCTTTGCGAACCACACCTGTTCCCACTTACTTGCGTGATCGCTTGACAGATGTACACATAGTCACATAGTCAAGTACTGATCCCCTACTATCTTCCTTCACTGATGTGATTTACCCAAATCAGCAGATCGAATTCCTTTCCAACGAGCATGTGACGAGTTCGCATCTCACTTGGTCAAGCCAAACCTTCCTCCGCGCGCCCCGCATGTCGTGCGTCCTGGGTGTCGCGCGTCGGCTCTTTGCGCATCACGTGTTTTTTCGACGAGGCTTCTTCGGCAAGCAAGCCCTTGATGAGGATGCATTGGAAATGCTGGGCAGCCTCCCCGACGACCGCGCCATGGTGGGAGCGCGTGTTCGCGCGTGTTCGCTGGATTTGGAAGGGAGTTCCTGTTTCCAATTATTTGTTTCTATATCTCTTCTATGGTCCCAAAAAAGGTCACTACCCTGCCATCCTCCAGCATTGTGCGGATATTTGATGATATTTGATCAATCCATCGCTTCTCCTAACCTTCTTGTTTTTTCTTTGTGTCCATCTTTGGCCAGGCTGTGCTGGAACAGTTGGAGCGAAAAGCGGGCCAGGGTGAAATTTGGAATCCCAACTCGTGACTTGGCAATGACGAGGGTCCCAGAATCTGTGGTTTTGCCGGGGGTGGTACATTCGTCCTGTCCAAATATACATGTGTGCTATTGTTTGACACATTTGTTATATAGTTTTGATGCACTGTTGATAGATTCTTGACAGATGTTTGATCATCGAGTCTGTAGATACGAAGGAATTGCCAATCAAAGAAGGTGTGGTGGCACTGTTGGCATAGAAAGCAGGCATAGGACCGTGCCTTTCAGGATTGCGATTTGTTGATGAATTTAACATTACAAGCTCAGTGACCCACATCAAACCACATTAAAATGAGATCAAAAGGCCAATGACTCCTTTACCCCTTCGTATTGTATATGAGGGTGGGGGACCCGTTCTGACCATTTGGGAGTGGGTGTTATAACATCATATATAACTCTGTGTAGTTTTTACAGATCCGGATCTGATCACTTTGGGGGAATCATGCCTTCACAGCCGCTGTTGGAGCCCCAGCAACTTGGGCAAAAGTCCTTGGACCTCTTGGAACCAGATTTATTTTGTTGTTTCGATTTTTGAGGGTTGAAAAGGAGCAGAGGATCCCCTATTTCCATGTTTTTTTGTTTGCACATTCTGAACAACACGTCCATGAGCCATAGTGGATCTTTGAAAAAGACAGGAGAAAAGAACACCCCAAAGGTTGGCTTGACACCCAGTGGCTTGAGAGAATGATGGTGCGAACCTAGTGGCGAACGCCAAGGGATCTGGTTTAGGAAGGCCCCCCAAGCTCTGCAGAGTTCATGGAAGACACCCCTTGGAGGGTCTGGGTAGCAGAGTCTTTGCATCTCAAACTATTTTGACGCTTGGCCCAGCGCCCCTATGTTACACATGTAATAATGTAATCACTGTTCTTTGAAGCTCATTGTCTCCTGCCATTTTAAAAGCAAGAACAAGCGACTAGCTTTTTTCAGCTCTAAGAGATCAAGATCAGCTCAAGCTGGACGACAATGCCCTGCGCTGGAGGGCATCGAATGTGTCTAGCACCACGAAAACCCACCAGCCATCCACCTCGCTGAGGTACGTGGTGAAGGCCGTGATTCGGCACAACAACCAGCTGCGGAACGAGGCCAACGACTATGCCCATGGCGGGCACGGTGGAGGTGGAGGCCCCGGTGAGTTTTCGCTGGGCGGGCAGGAGTGACAAAGAAGGGACTGTTCGTTCCCCAGTGGATCAGGTGATTGTTTTCTGTGAAATCCATTCCCTGGGAGTCAAGTCGACTATCAAAAGAATGGTCGACCTAGGTGACCCGAATGGTCTTTGGACTTCTAGGGCATTGAAATCGAACGGAATATGTTGAACTGTTCGTTCCGAAACCAGCACTGTTGATTTGCTTCGCTGGTGGGAAGGTCCGTCTTCGGCTTAGCATCTGTGGAAGTGTAGGGACGAGGCATCGATTCCAAGCAAGAGATAGTAAGATGTTCCTTTTGAGTGTTTGTTGGGAGCCCCTTGTAGATCATTGCACAACTAAGGTGAGGGATTGGTGGGGAGGACCCCATGGTGGGGTCCCCCCCGACCCTGGCTGAGCTTTTGTGAGGCACCAAAGCCTGCAACTGCGGTCAATACATCATTCTGATAGCCTGAGCCAGAGATAAATTCTATGGCTTCAGCACTGGACTGGTGTGATAAGATGGGTTTCATATGGTGTCAGTCATGTCAGACACCTTCACAGATGATTAGTTGATCACTCTCAACAGCTGGCACCGCACTCCCCCCCCCCCGGGACCTCGCGGAGTCGACGAGTGGTCGGTCGGCAGGTCAAGCTCCGGCGGCCTTGCCGGTGCTGAAGAAGGTGAACTGGTTGAACCGTGAAGGCGCGGGCGCGGACTGGTCGGTCGGTCTCGGGCCCGGGGGGCGACGTTCGGACTGGTCGGTGTGTGGAAGCGTGGTCAGTGTGGTGCAGAGGATTTGGAGATAAACATATTGAATTGGTTGAGGAGTTGCAGAAGTTCATGGAAGACTTAAAGTTGCCAACAGAGTTCCTTGCAAAACCAGATGTGTCCACAAGGAGAACGAAATGCCAGTCGCTTTTGATGCCTTTGAACACCACTTGTGACGAAACTGTTTTTCCGATAGGCATATTCTTTCATATACCCCTATACCAGGACCTTCCAACAGCGTGCGACCCTAGGACCCTCTCAGAGGTGGTCACCCAAACACCGAATCGTTCGGTGTCACCCAAACAGCTCCCTACATGGTTAGTTACGCTGCAGAACGTGACTGGGATGGCCAATTCCACACTTTTGCAATCAATCAGCTGCTCGCATGCGATGCGACTCGTTTCGGACACGTCATGATGTATTCTTGCGATACTTGGTGAGTGGCAGGCAGGCAGGCACTCTTGGGCAAGCTATATCTCATATCAACATAATGGAAACCCAAGAACTGATGCCTAAATCATGGAGTCAATCGAGTCATTTGTATATTGGAGGCTTTTTTGATGTGCACGAGTCTGGGATGGCAATCTTTTTTTGGAGCATTTTCCTGGCTTTGCAGTTCAAGTGACCGTACAAAGTCGCTAAGGGCTTTTTTTGGCCACGGCAACAAACGTGGCGGGTTTTGAAGCTCACGCGCTGGACTTCTCAATGATTTCAATAACGCCAGGCTTCTTTGGCAAGAACACCGTGGATGAAGATGCCATCGAGATGTTGGGTCAGCCACACGGCCATGAACATCGCCGGGATTTTGGGAGATTGCACGGCGCGGCCAGTTGCGGAACAACAAGACACCTGGGGGGCATCATTCAAGCTGACTGACTTGTGGCAAAGGTTGGTTGGCAGAGCTACCACCCTCATTGATACTTAAAAATACACCAACCCTGGCTTCGTTCATTCCCTGGATCTTTGGATTTGCATGTATTTTTTCCATTCCTTGTTTCACCTAAGAGGGGGGTCTGCTCATCCGAACGAAGCGGTGTCAGCCGAACCGAACCTAGAGGTGTCGAACCTTGGGTGACATGGCAAACAAGCCGATGACATGCTTCAGTTCGCAACGGCCGCGCAGCCGTCGGGTCACCAGGTCTGAAACTGACCTGCCTCCACCTGACCTGAAGATATAGAAAACATATGAAAACATCGAAATCAGACCTTTGAAGATTCGATGTATGGTGTGGTTTGGCTTTTAGACTTTAAAGTAATGAATTTTGCCCTAAAAGGGAGATAGAACGTTGCCCATCCTCCACGGATAGAACGGCACGTCATGGTACATCCTTTTCCTCGGTGATGACCGTTACTCTAAGGCTGCCTGTGGACCGGGCCATGAGCATCTTGGAAAACATCGAGGACAGTAGTGGAAACGCATCTTCACAGCCCCAAAGGTCGACGGTTTTGCTTGTGTCCTGCAAAAGAACTGCTGGGGTTGGATGGGTTTTAGGATGTTTTAGACACTCAGTTTGCCCGAAGTCAAGCGCTTGCATGCAGAGACCTGTGCCCAATCCTGAACGGTTTGTCAATTGACCAACCTCGAAGTTACCCAACAAAACGCCGTGTTCATCTCTAGACCCATGGCTTGTTCGAAAGCGTTGATTGCAAAAGACTTGCTGAAATTTCCATATGGAAAAACGGTTCTCGTCTGAGTACTTTAGACGGTGTGGTGTTTGGCAGCATTGGACGTTTCTCCTTACCCCAGTCTGGTGACGGCAGGAGAAGGCCAAGTCTGGTGAGATCTGGAATCCCAACAGCTACGTGGCCACTTGGATCCCAAAAAGCGATGGGGAGCCCGTCAAAACTGGGTAACGTCCTAGGCCCGACGTCCTAGGCCGCATGGACGCGGAACCGAGATAGACGAGGAACAGGTAACAGACCTGCCTTGGATCCAAACGGGCTCCAGGTGTTGACGGCTTTGGCCAAATGTCGACGGAAACATGACATACCCATACACTCCATGGGACTGCCATATATGCCTATACATTGACCCCCGCAATGTAGGCAAATATGGCAGTCCCATGGAGCGTCTGGGATCGCTGGTCTCAGAAAACCGTGGGCGCCAACTGAACACAGACTGTGGGTATGCCAACTGATGCCAACATGTGTTCCACGCGAAAAAAATACCCAACTGCTGCATTTGCTTCAATTCACACTCTCTACTGTAACCAACTCCTTCGTCAAACATAGCTAGAACGACTCTGAAGCTGTTGATAGAAGACGTCATCAAACAGATGTCGATCAATGGGCTCAGGCTCAACGGGTTCACCGAACGCCATCAGCTCCACGAGACCTGAGACGTCAACCGGTCTGAGACCGACGACCGCGGTGGACACCTGGACCTGGCGACGGATGGATCGTAAGCAGCAGCCAATGACCCAGGTGTTGCACAGATGGATTGTTTGAAGATGTTGGGAAGAAGGAGTTATTTGCGCCATCTAGTTCTGAAGGACTTTTGCGTGCATATAGCATCAATTCAATCGTTGACTGTGTCCTCGCCCCACTGACAGTGAGTATAGAAGTTACATGAGGTTACGTGTGAGAATCACCACACTTTGGCAGGTCTCGTTGTGCAGGATTCTGCAGTCTTTTACCCAAACACTCCATGGGACTGGCATATTTACAAATCAGTTAGGCTGGTTGGTTGACCTGTGGTCGTATGGAGCATATGCCAGTCCCAGACAGGTCGTGTCTGGGTTAGGCTTGGATTCTATCGGAACTTCAGATTTCAGCCGACGAGGCCTGTGTCTTTAGTGCCTCAGTTGCCACTCCCCCTCCCCTGGCTATGTCTGGCTCAGGTAAGGGCAGTAGTCCGCCATTCGTGTCTTGGTTGAGGGAAGATGGATCAGACTGGTTTGCTAGATTTCTCTTTCACCAAGCCCAAAGTATCCAGTTGCTGATGTATATCACGATGTGTATAACGATGTGTGTTACAGGAACCATGTTGAGTCCCTTTGGCCAAACATAAGACGAAGCTCTTTGGTTGGTTTCTCTTCCATGTCTTTGTATATCAGACGCATGAGTTCGTTCATGGCACGCCGAACCATGGACAGTACAAAATTGCATTCACATCCAGACCACGAAAACAAACAATGAATGCCGTCTGGGTTAGGGTTTGGCGCAACAACAGAATTGAAGAACCTGTAGAACCTGTGATGACAAGGGCCATCTTCACACCATGATGACAAGGGATGTTCATGGCTACTACCCTTGCAAATGTTGGATCTATTTCATTGGATTTGAAGGGCGGATGAATTCATCAGAACTGTTTGTTATGTGGAAGTTGTAGTAGTCGTCGTCATCGTCGTCGTCATAGTAGTAGTAGGAGCAGCAGCAGCAGCAGCAGTTTCAGGTATGAAATGCACGCACCATTGTCCATCTGAACGTGTTACTATGTGCCTGCAGCTCCACCTTCAAACACGGGCTTGGGGACCATGAACCGCCAGACACGAGCTTTTCGGAAGATTCGCACGGACCTCAAGAGAGAGTCAGACCGAGGACTTTCACCTCTCAGTGATGAATTGGGGGGTTCCATGTCCCAAAGTATACTGCAACATAGGACGCTCTTTGACCATTCGGAAAATAGATCAGTGCACCCAGCTAGGGCGAGAAAGGGTGTGTCTCCCAAGTGACGGCGCATACACACCCAAGTGACGGCGCGCGTCTTTTCGCCACTTCAGGCAGAACATGAAGAACCACAGTTGGAATGACTGGAGTGATGACAGGAGCTCCACACCTCTGGCACGAAGAAAGGGAGGAATGTTGGCTGGGTGGTGTAGAACGAGACCTTTCCGGAGTGATTTCCGGCCTTGAAAGAAGGGACCAAACGGCTTTGAAAAGGGGGCCAAGCTTGCGGTGTGTGTCATGGCGCCTGGGAGGGGGATTCTTGTGAGATAGGCAGTCGATTCCACATGGATCTTGATTGAGACAATCTGAGACCCCAGATGATCCAAGCTGTCCAAACCGTCCATTCTTCGACTCCTAGATCCTATGGAGACGTTACAAAGAGAATCTATACCCCAGACATCCCCAGACTTCAATTACCATTAATGGTTCTAACATGTTATAACAGGAAATAAGGTAGACCCGGTGTTGTAGTCTAAAACCGTATCACCATGGTAGACCTGGTGGGCATGCAACCCATTGATGTCAGGCCCCAGTCCGGCCCAGAACTCCCTCCCGGTCGCGTGGAACACGAACCCTTCAGTGTCCATCCGTCGTGGTGTGCTGTCGTCCTACCTCGTTCCGCCGCGCCGGAACTCGTCGACGTTTTCGGCGCGTCGCGACTGGGATTCACCGGGACTCACCAGGAGACCTCAGAAGGGCAAGGCAGGACAGGGCGGGTGGACAGCTGGTGAGAGCGGGTGGGTGAGAGCCGGGTGGATCAGTGCGGTCAGTTGGCCAGGTTTCAGGATGTTCAATGAAGGCGCCAGCACAAGCGGATGGGGGCGGGAAAAGGGGGGGCATGTTCCAGGTCGAAGGATGTTTGATGATGTTTGCGATGCAGAGGGCATGGCGGAACGGCACGTCAGCAAAAGGAGTTCAAGATGGGGACAGTGTTGAAGTCAGTCTTAATAAAAACATAAAGTTGCGTCCATTTTGAGATGGGCTTCAACTTGTTTGGCCCTTTAGTATGTATTTAGATGTATTTATGTATTGTTTGCATCAGAATCAGCTGTTTCTGGCCTTCAAAGAACACACACATAAAAAACCTCTGCAAGATACAAAGGTGCCATACCGCAGCTTTGGCCATACCGCACTATTTCAGCACTTCTGACGTCAAGCCAGCTTGGTCAAAGCTGGGATGCTTTCTGCCGACAGGGCAAAGGCAAGGGCGGCACGCAGTTGGCGATCCGCACGGAGACGAGAAGCAAAGGCCGAGCGACCTAGCGACCTTCGGAGGGGAGGACGACGCGGGACGCGACCGGACTGCCGAGTGGCACGGCCGACCGGGGTGGTTGACTGGGGGTCGACCTTTGGGGCGGCAGTCCAGCCTGGCAGTCCCAGACAGGTCGTGTCTGGGTAAGGGAGTGACCTGCCAGCAGTCGTTCTGTACAAAAATTGGGAAGAGGACCCTTCATGGTCCTTGCACCACTCCATCCTGAGCCTGAGTCCATTTAGACTTATTGATAACATTCCCGGAAATCATCATGGTTTCGTGGACAGAACGTTCACCACCTGTTTGCTCTTCGGATTTCACTCGTCATCCGAACCACTTCGGGGGCCAGGCCACCTGGCCCACTGGTAGTCGACGACGTCTCCGAAATGAAGCTTTGAAAACCCGTTAGAAAGGAAGAATTGAAACTCTTTTGACAAATGGGTCATTCTTCCATCTCAATGAAAACCCTTTTGAACACCCATTGACTCTGCAAAGTCAGAATTGAAAACCCATTTGGCTGAGTCTCATGGCTTGGAAGGGTGTGTGTGTGCTTTTGGGCCTGTTGGCCTGACACCCGCCCCCCCACAGCGTGTGCTAAGCTGAATAAGATAAAGAATGATAAAGATGAACATACCAAGTTGACTTTTTTCATTGACATGATCAGTCATAGTATGGCAAAACAATGTCAGTCATACTATGGAAAAAAACACGTATGCCATGTATATAGTGCATATACATACACATGACAGAGGTGTATGCATGCCAATCGATCTTCTCCATACCGGCGAACAACTGACCCACAGCTGTCCCCCTCCGAATGAAGGTGCAAAGTTTCTTGCCAACCATCCAAATGTTGTGGACATGTCATCATGTGTGACAAAGATGGCCCCAAACATGCCAAAACTATAGCCATTTGGGATCATTTGGGTCACTTCAAAGGACCAGACGTTGGGAATTGACGTGGCAAAAATCCGGAGGCAAGGGCAAAAGCCGCTGGTGAGAAGGCTGAGTGCTGAGCCCGCGGAGGTGGAGACTGAGCGATCTGGCGGATGGGGGAGCCCCCCCTGGCCCTAAAAACGTTGGTGATGTTGGTGTTAAAATGCCAATAAATAAGCTGTCCTATTACATCTAAAGGGTTTGGGTGGATCTTGAAGTAGGGGGACCTTCCTGGCCCTGGCTGGGTAGACTGGTGCATTTCTCCCTTTTTCTAGGGAGTCCAACTGGGAGATCTCCATATTTCATACACACCTATATGTTTATGTTTTTTCCGTGGTCATCAGAGGGTGCCAAGTCATTGCAACGTCGTGTTTCAAGTGTGACAACAATGTGACCATGTGTCTTCGTTTGGAACCCTCAAACTCCAGGGCAACATAGAAACCTTAGGGCTCCAACCATATCCTCAGAAGTTCTCAGAAGGTGGTTAGACCCCCCTGGCCACCCACCCCAACCATCTTCTCGGGAGGTAGTAACATTCTAAAGAGGCCTTTGAAAAGAGATCCATTCTGTCCAGAAACGGCTAAACCCACCCAGCTGCTTTACATCTTTAAAGCTCCGTTTGGACCCCGTTATTTTTCCGCGGTCTGGTCGGAAACCAGTGACAGGTGGAGCTCCGGTGGAGCTCGGGTGGCGCTGAGGGAGTGGGGTTCGGTTCACCCGGCGCTCGGGTGGCGTTTCAACGGTTCCGGAAGGGGGGCCGGAGGGACTCGATGAGTTCCGGCTTCGACGCGGATCACACTGAAACAGAGAGCTACTGTAGTTGTTGCTTGGTGAGAACTCCTCTTAGAACATGGGAGGAACATGGAAGGAACTAAAGAAAAACAAACGGGGATGAATGATGTATACTTATGTGGAGACCCCAACTGGTGTTCTTTGGTGATGCGGTGACATCATTGACACTACGTGTTCTGTGGTGTTCCCAACCTAGTTCAGCTTGGGAACAGCTTGGGAACAGAGCAGAAGAAAGAGATCTTCCCTAGGGCCTTAGGGCTCCTGGCCCATCTCCTCAGGTGCGGTGGGCCGGTGGGTGGGTGGTTAGACTCCCCCAACCCACTCACCCCTGTCCCATCGAACCGCAACGGAGGAGGCGGCCGCACGGAGCGTTCCGTAAGCATCGAAGCGTTCCCAGCTCCGACAGATCCTCCAGGGAGCCCTAAAGGAAGCCCATGTTCCGATCACTTCTTATTTTGGGGTTTGGGGGGAGTGTTCCATCAAGTCTGGAATGTCTTGACTTCTTCACTTGACTCGTTTGGTCCGAAAAGGCGTTCATTCCGGCCCCTTTCCGGAACCCAAAGGGGCCCTGGCATTCTTCGCTGTGGCCGGTCTGAGTGATCAGTGCCGACTTCTCAACATGTGTTTGGAGAAGGTCAACCGAAGACTTGTTTGCACATGTTTGCACCACATAGCGCAGCTGAGCTCGTTTCGGCCAAGATAAGAACCTGCGGCCGTCCTTAAAAGCTTTGCTTGGTGGCAAAACATGTTGGGTTGGAAAGTGCTAGGAAATGCTTTGCAAGATGCAAGATACAACAAGACATAAGAACTGAACATATTGGGACTGTTGATGAACAGTTCAATTTGCACCAGCTGGCGACCATAGGAACCTCCGTTTCTAGAGGTTTGACCAGAACAAGATGAAGCATTCATCGGCACCTCTGAAGTACTTGTGACCATTGGGCTTGCCACAGCCCTGGTGACGGGCGTGCCGACGTTCCATTTTGTTGCGGCTGACGCGTATGAAAAACTGCCGGGCTGTGCACAGGTTTGCTGCCTTTCATTGACTCCACGTAACTATTAGGATCGGCGGAGGGGGCAAATGATATATGATATGATATACGGTAAAATATGCTTGGACTTCTGTTTTGAGGAAACTTTTGGGCCCTCAGGAATGTGTGGTCTATGAGGTGGTTTGCTTCTCCCCTGATTGCAGGCAACTTTGGGAGTGAGGAAGACTGCTAAGGAGCAGGGTCGTGTAGATCTGCACAAGTATCAGATATGATTTTTGAATTGATTTGATATGGAGCAGCTTAACAAGATGACAATGTGTGTATTAACCTTTGCTTTCTAGTCTTAGACATCTATATACTATAATATGTACTACAAGACCGTAACACCAGACCTTATACCAGAGATTTGTGGCTGGCCTTTTGAGGGCCTCAGATGACTCATGCGAACCAGAGACATGGCTGCTCCGGTAGTTGGAACATCAACCCATCCAAACACTCCTGCATGGCCAAGCTGGATCATGGCAACTATCGGATGGTTGTAGCAACATCAATATACCCATTTGGGGGATGAATACCCTTTGGAAGATCATTGCGGCAATGACAGCTCCAGAACCCCAGTTGCGATTCTTTACCTTTCCTCATTGGTAGATGTTAATGTTAAACGTATCCGCTTTGTCATTGGCCCCCCCACTGGGCGGCGGGTGAAAGCTCATTGACACCGTCCCGGACCAAGCGGGAAGAGTACTGACATAGTACCACCGAAAGTACAAGATATTAAATCATAAACCACCTTACAAACAGTTTGAGACCTAATATGATGTGTCTGAATGATCCTGAGTGTACTTTCTACCAAAGTCCACAAGTCACAGGTTGTCACGTTGGCCGCACACATCGGGCCAACCAACTCTGAGGCTTCTGCAGTTGAGGCTGAAGGAGGCAGAGGTGCTGGGCTGGGCCGCCGTAGGCGTCGATGTGGAAAATTCGAAGACATGACGCAGCACTCAGTGCTGCACCCGTATACCACGGGGAAGCTTCACGACAATTCACCATTGTTTGAGGCTCGGACATGTCCAGTTGAGGCTCGGTAGCAACTGAAATCCTGCAAATCTTTACGTATGTCATGCGTGGTGGAGTTCTGGTCACCCTTTGCACCCAGAACTCCGAATGAAGACGGCTGACCCTTGGCGCTTGGTCGACGGATTAGACTGACCGAAGATGTGCATCCAACCTCCCATGGCGTGGTGGGTGGGTCTAGATATTTCGATCCAACCTCCCCATGGTCCGTTCGTTTCGTCGAGCGTTTCGTCAGCGTTAGATGCCGGACCCCCGAAAGCACCCGACGTGCAGGGGGAGTTGAACGACGTCAAAGGCCGCCATCTCAGACGGAGTGCATATATCGATGCATATGGGTAGCTTCAAAGGTCTATGCCGCTTGGTGTTCGGTTGGTTCCGGTGGCCGTTTTTTCCCCAAGCAATCCCCACAACTGAGGACGTGTGCATAAACCGAATAGTGAGGCGGACCACTTCGACGGCAGACGGGAGATTTCAAGTTGGTGAGGGTCATTTCGGGTCACAGTTTGGGGGAATATCCCATGACCAATGTGACTCGCGCGCAAGACCTCGCGCGATGCATGACCAAACCATCACTAAGTGAAGGCCGAAAACAGTGCTACCGAAAAGAGGGGGGACCTGTCCAGCCCTGAGACTCAAAGATCTATGCCTGCGAGCTCTGCATCGAGTGGCAACGAGTGTGGCAGTAATATGCGAACAAAAGTTCTGCTCATTAGTGCCCAAGAATGCTAAATGGAGCACACAGGACCACTTACTGTATGTAGCCCAATCGATCAATGGAGTGTCAAAACCACCAAGATTGATGTCAAAGTAAGACCTCTTCAAACCACTCGCTGCCAGGCAGACTGAAACTCAATAACTATATAATATATATATATATAGGGAGCCCCATTGTGAGACAGACCATTTGTCAGCCTTCCATAGAATAGTTCATACATGTTCATAGCCATCCTCATTAGATCTCAGTAGATTAAATTCATTTGGTGAAGGGGTATGGACATGTATGAACTCTTCAATTCATTCATATCCATTCCATGAATTCCATCAATTGCGTTGAACAGAACACCTCATTGGATTCCATGGGTGAAAAAAGGATTTCACATCCCTCGACATCCCTCCACACTGAAGGACCGGAACATGATTCATTCACCTTCCCTTGGCCCGAGCAGCTGAGCTCCATGCACAACTGGGATCAGTGGGCCATGAGCGATTCCCTCTGAGCACTGGTGAAGAGGGGATAGGAAAGAGAGAACATCAGCCAGAGAATCCAAGATGGGAAACACATAGATTTCTTAGACATCATCTGCTTTTAAAGGCTTCTCAAACGCAGCCTTCGTGACCTCCAAAAACGTTCGTTGTGCGTTGCCCCCCGCCCCAACCCCAAACCCAACGTTCGTGACGAGTCGGAGCTCAGTCAACCCAAAACCGAGGCGTCCTAGAAGAGTCGCACCAACGCGGTGGCCTGCGCTTCTTGCAGCAGGCGAGGCCGGAGAGGAGGTTTCGGGTGTCGCGTGCGTCGGGCAGCGTCGCTGCTTTCGCACCGGGTGAGCGGAGCACGGGTGCGGTCCGGAGCAGGGGTGCCTGCTGGAGGGACTGAACAAAAGGCACGCACTTTTGGGGATGGACTGACCCAACAATAGCAGATCCCTGTAAGCTAGCTGACTGCTTTCAACCCGTCAGTGCAAACGGTCAATGTGAATATCAAGGCCACTGACCTGCTCTTTTTGGTCAAGGCCACTGACCTGTCTTTTTGATGCCATGCCGCTTGGGTGTTAGAGATGTTCCATGCCGCTTGACCAAACCATAGCGATCGTTGAGTCGAGTCGCTCATGAAGCAGGAAACCCATGGTCGTCCTTTCTCAAGTCCATGAGCATGAACACGAGCAAGGCGTTGATTCTATAGATCGATATCGTTGGTGGGGTCATTATTAATATTTAGCTTCAACTAGCAAATGGATGTCACGGATGGTCGGCGTTGATGGATAGCCTTGTTGGATCACTCGAGATTCGATCGTGCAGCGCGTCGCGCATCCGCTCGCGTCGCGTACGGATTCCCTGTAGATCCTGTGGGAAGGGAGTGCCATGGAGTGCCGTAGTGCAGACTGTCTGTCTGAACAACCCCCCTGTCTCCATGTTCTAGTTTTACAGCTCGTTCTTTTTGACTCAACCGTCTACATCTTCACGACTCGAACGAATGCACATGAACGACGTCTCGTCGTCGAGCCGTCCGTTCCGTGACACTTGGCTTCGCCCTTTTGGCTCACAGTGTCGAAATTCATCACCGCAATGGCGATGGCCGAGGAGAGGGGGGCGAGGAGAGGGGGTGCTGGACTCGGTGGGATCCACTTCTTTGGAACAACGCAACACACTTGGGAGGTTCTGAAGATATCTTTTCCATGCATCGGATATGATGTTTCCTTGAAGTATATCATATAGGAAATCCCCATGAAGCATCCTGCAGGGAGGATTCTGTTCACTGATGAGCATTTATTTTTGTCAACTCGAAATGACCCTTTTCTCAACTAACAATTCTATAGAGAAGTCACATGAAGTCACAGTTTGTTCGCTGGAGCTCTGACCCTTTGAATCTGACTCCAAACCAGAGCTCTCGACTCTGGACCACGACCAGCACAAGCTATGTCTATGTGAGGTCCCAGGAGTTCCCCCCCCGGAGCTCCCCTTAAGCATTCTGAAGCTTTTTTCCAGGAGCTCGTCATGACAGTGTCCGTGCGCTCCCAAAACGTGTGTAGCACAACACGACACAGTGCAATTCTGACATCTTTTTTCTAAGGCTTCGGCTCTCGTGGTTCTAGCCACATGAGGAATCCTTGCTGTCGATTCTCCCCAAACACGAAAGATTCTGCACGGCGAATCTGTTAAGTTTGCCCCCCAGGCGAGCGTACTAGAGAGTAGAGGTCCGGCGAGCTGTAGATCGGGAGTCTCGAGGCATCGAAGAGGCATCGAAGAGTCGGTTCGTCGGTGCATGGGCACGGGCAAAAACAAAAAGGCCACGGAGCGGGGAAGTTAACTTCCGCCGGCCATATATGATGCGCCATATCGTTCAATTTCTGGTGAATGTAAGGAATGCTCTGGGTATTGTGAGTGTGAGGGTCGCCTTTGAAGTGGTGACGAGTGACGCAGCGGATGAATCCTTCACCTGTGCCAGGAGCACTGCAAAGCGAAGGGAGGAGGCACGTACTCGGAGATCTTAAAAAGGGCCTAGCAGAACATTTGCGAGGTTTCCTGGAAATATGTTGAGCAATGTTGAGCAGAAGGAAGCATTTCTGGTTGTGCAGGAAGCATTTCTGCGCCTTTTTTTTCTCAGTCCCCTGAGACATGTTCAAATGACCTGGAACTGTGCAGTTGAATTCAGAGTTTCAGGGTTTGACTCTGACTCTTCAAGTCCATAGGATTTTATGCCGTTGAAGGGCTTACATCGTTGTGGGACAGGTGCAGTGGCTGTTCTCGAAAAGAAGTGGAGACGACCCATCCAACCCAGACCCATTCTGTGTGTCCAAATGGCGATGGGTCGTTTAACAGACCGACCATGTTGAAATCACCCGACGGTCGTCCACCACGTGCCGCGAACGACACCGGCACCGTGCCAGCCATGAGCCACTTCCGTTCCCGGGCTGAGAACGGTGGGGCGGTTCAGGGGGCTCCTCAAAGATCATGACAGACACTCCCACTCCCACTCCCACTCCCACCAAAGTCTTACCTTGGCTTTCTGATAGGCACATGCTGACGTGAGACGTTGGAAGACTCATGACTCATGAACAAACAATTGGAGGATATTGGAGGTGCCAGTCACTACATGGATGATGGATCAAACATGTGGCCGGCCTCGTCCCTACTCTCTCGTCCCTTCTCTCACCGTCCAGGCGGCACGGACTACCCTGAATATGCCGTGTTGTCTCGAAGCACCTTGGAGGAGGGAGGAACGTCCGAGGAAGTCGGTTCCTTCCTTCATACCTTCGTCCTTTCGGTGGCCCGTTGGGCGCCAGGCGCCCGTGATCGCCCGTTGGTCATCGTTGGTCCGATTTGTCATCCATTGCGATGGGGTCCGATGGGGTACACCAAATGGTACACATGATCGGCGCTGCACTTCTACCTTTTCGGAATTGGGGATCTTTGGCGAGTCAATTTGTAGGCCTTCTTTCGATTGAACTTTGAGACACAAGGAGCCTTTTTGCCAGACGGTACGATCATACTGGCGCTGAAGAACGATGACTGGAAAGACCAAAGTCCTTAAGAGTTCTTCAGCATTCAGGATGATCTTTTATCAGATTTATCCAAAAGAAACCATGGATTGGTATCCTTATGTATCCTTTAAGATCCTTTAAGGATGGAGCAATTTTTTTCGGATGTTGTTCAGCCTGTTTCTGCATGTGTTTGAAGGTCCAGATGATCGCTCCTCTCCTCACTATTTTGGGAGAGGATCTGGACGAAGAACTTAGAAGTGCCGACGGATGAGCACTGCATACGTGGAAAGCACATGGCAAAGAGATCATTCCAAATCTGTGGGTCAAAATGTTCAGCTTCAGTGGACAGATGCGGACAGTACGCTGAAAGCAACGAGCAATCCTATCATGGTTTGGCTACTGCCACTGTATCCAGAAACAAGGGTCTACCTTGCGCCAGTGACCCTAGCAAATGCTGGAGGGTAGATGAAATGGAACCAAATCTTTCAAGCATCCCGCATTCTTTTGATCCAAGACGCGCCACAGGGCTAAAGCTTTTGTCCCATATGTTTTCAGTTACTTGGGGGATTGGCATGGCCTCAGCCCAGAACTACCTTGGTTGATGTCCCAACAGATTTCCCAAGTGCTGCTGTGGGAAGAGCCAACTTCACTCATCGATTTTTAGGTTTGTTCATCGCTGTCGTCTTACCCAGTCAGTCAGTCAGTCAGTGGATAATAATGTTTAAATAACAAATTTTATCTTTGGTTTCACCAAAATTTGTGTTTTCGGCTTTTCGACCAGAGTGTCGCGGCCTGCCGGGAATATCCTGGTTGACAGATGGAACAGGTGGAAAGTTTGGTTAATCTATTTTACAGGGACCTGGACCGTCCATCGTAGCGACACTCACCGAGCCCGAGCACTCGTTCTTCGTCACAAAACTTCTAAACCACAATCATCTCACGCCCCGAGATACCCCGAGTTCTTATACTAAACACCAGTGACTTAGGATCTGTCTGGAGGTATCCCAAAAATCCATGTCCTATCTCATTTTGGTCCACAACTCCTATCTCATGAAGCCTAGCAGCAAGGCAAAACAGGAACGCTCTCGAGTTAGGACTCTTGCTGCACAACTCAGCACAACGCCTAACACCTTGGATACTCAAAGTCCTAACTCACCAATGGGTAGTATACTTAAACCAACAACTTGAGTGAACACAGTGAACCAACAGCCCAAGTCACAGGTCTTTGGACACCTGTCACTCATCTCTCTCTTTGTCGCCAACGGGCGTCACTCAGGCAGCGAGGCGCTCTGCTGTGCCGTCGACGCGCTGCTCACGGCGCTCGCGTTCGCGTCGCCGGAGGATGTGGGCGCACGCTGGCGAGAGGCGACATGCGTGCGCCCCCGGTGCGTGGGGGTCCAAACAGTTTGGTGAGTGTCAAGAGGTGTCGAGGGTCTGGGAGTTGAAACATCTTAGATATATGAATATGTTTTTCGTTTTAATTGGCAATTCCGTGAGAAGAAGATCTCATTGAGCATTTTATGTATATAACTATATTTGTCTCACATGATGTCTTGTCATTCTTTGGACGGGAGAAGATGATTTAGTCATCCTTACCAGGCAGGGTACCAGGCACTGTTGGAGAGCCCAGTTGAAGGTCCAAAAACCGGGGTAGTTCAGTCGAGCGGGCAAAGGAAACGGTTTAGGTCAAAGGACAAGCGGCAAAGGAAAAGGATCATTTAAGGATCTTGGAACCTTGGTAGGACTCCCCCTTGGAAGGTTTGAAGGTGCTAGGAAGATGCTTGTTTGATCTCAAACAGTTGCTCCTTTTGACTCGATTGCTTTTTTTTCATTTAGCTGATGTGATGTCCTTCCTGACCAGAAGTCTGTGCCACTCCACTTTCTCGGGACCAGTATCAGGACCAGATGGTGTCAACCCGCTCTTGTTCAGCCAATTCTGGGTGATTGGCCAATCCGGTCCGCTCATTGCAGGCATCTGAAAAAGTACTTTTGCAGCATAAGGCTGGCCGGGCTTGGTAGCATTGCGGTCCTTAGGTGTCGCAGGTTTGGTATTAACCTGGTCTTCCAGGGCTTCCCAGGTGGTGGTGGAAGAATTCAATTCTGGTGGATTTGAATTTGAGTGGATCGTTGATCGTTGGGAAGGAGTTTGTGGAAGTGGGATTGCTTAAGGTGATGTATAAATCAAGCTCATCCATTGGAGTTCGGTTTCTCTGCAGGTCGAAAAGACCAATCGCGACTTACCAGGGGTCCTCAACATGTTCGACAGATTCAACAAAAAAATGGACCCACAATATGGTGAACTACCCATACAGGTACCCTACCTTGTACCTGAAAAAATTAAAGAAGTGCAACATGGGCAAAGATGGGCAAAGGAGGCACGCACGGAAAAGGCCCGTTCTACCTCGCACGACACCGGTTGCTACCGTTCAGCATGAGCCATGAGCATGTCCGAGGATGGCTGGTTGCTCGGACTTGGGGACCGTTCTCATAAGTTCCATCGAAAGTGACAAAAGGACAGCAAATCAGCAGCGCACGAATCGAACGTAGGCTAGGGGAAATCGATGTGGGTCGTTCACATCGTCACGTTGTGGGCTCTTCTGACGTTCGGCGAGCATTCCTTACAGCCATCCCTCCCCGCTTGGACCGCTCTGTTGGTAAGAACGCGAACGCGCGAACGTCACACGTGCCAGGCGCGGTTGAACGAGCTATCAGCATCAGATCCAAGGTCAGCTGATGTGCTGTTCTGTCTCACTGGAAGGTGGTCAGCGAATACCAATCTGGGTCATCATATGAAGCACCCTTAGCGAGCACAATTATTGTACAGGGTGCTTGTGTCTCAGGGAAAAATGGAACACATTCTCTTGAATTAATTGTCCATGAAATGTCAAGTGCACTTACACTTGCGAAGTATTTCAGAATGAACAAAAAACTTTCTGGTGCGGATGGGCATGGGCATGGTATCCTTCTTTCGCTTAGACAGCGCGGTTGCTTCGTGCTTGAACTTCACGTTTGTTGTCTCAGCTCCTGGCGAATCGCGTGATCTGGCGGTGTCGGTCGGTTGTTTGCTACATGGACTGACCCATCCACATTTCAGGGCTCTTGGTGGGCTCTGGCTCCAGAAACGCCTGACCCCTTCCCCCCCATATTGCTTGGTGTCGGGCAGCTTCGGTGGGACCAACCACACGACGCGCCGGGTGAGCGTCCCACCAAGCGCTCCAGGCAGTGGAACGAAGAGTTCGAGGCCGAGGATCAGCTCTTCGAGTTCACAGGCGCGAGGAGTTCGGCTGTTGGACGAGTTTGGAGGAGTTCGGCGCGGACGACTCGGCGGTGTCGTTTTTTGGACCAAATCCGGTGTTGTGAACTTTACATGTTTGTTTGATAATACATCTCTTCAATTTTGAACCGTATAGAGGACACTGATCTTCTTGCGTTGGTCTTCACTTTGTATGTATGTTTTTGTAATCATGGGCATTGGATAGCAGTGGTGTAGGATGGCAGTGGGAACTATATAAGCTTCAGTCTTCATCAGATCGATGTGAAGGGTTACAGATGAGGCCTGACAATATGATCATCAGCTGTACAGGAATTCTTTTCGGTGGCTTACACACTCTTCTGTTCTCCATACTTCTGTCATGGGGCCCAACCCATCCGCTCTCCCAACCTTCCGGCATTCCTTCCTCCGGAGTCACCGGGGCCCGGCCTGGACACGCCATCCGAGGCCTTTCGCAGGACCTCGACCGGTTGCAGCAGCAGCAGCGCCGCCGCGCGCAGCAGGCGGCGCAGCTGCGGCGCCGGCGGCAACGGAGCCGTGCAGCCTTGGCCCGGCGGGAGCGGGGGGGGGGGGGGGAGCGGCTGAGGCCAAGAAAAACTTCTTCTCCAAAATCATTTGGAGAATCCTGGAGAAAAAGCGAAGATTTAGATCTAAACTGTCCCAGCGGTGAATTTGACCCAGATGTTTAGGGGCTGCCCCTCACATCTTTGGTGAGGCATGGTGAGGCCAAGTTTGCTTGTTGGAGCATTGCATTGGTGGTGGGCGAGACTTGCCAGATACACAGATATGTGCAGAGATTTGGGCCAGGCCTCCAGAGAATAGACATGATATGATATGATTAGGGAGCATGTCAAGAATAGGATCATGCAAGAATTTCCGAAAAATTGCCTTCAATCCCCTGAGAAAGAATCCAACTTGTCCCGCTTGTCCTTGTGGTTGTAGTACAGAAAGTCGTCCAGACTGGGCTTTCGATCATGTAATCAGTACTCCAACCTTTCAACATGGCATCTCCAGTGCAGTTGCCAGACTCCAAATTCTTTAAGAGCTATGGCATATAGACGTTCTTTACATTTATTTGCCCAGGTGCTTCGAAACATGCAGTTCGGAAGCACCGGACCTCGCCGTCACCACGTCACCACCGGACCACGCACTCGCACGAGCTGCTGAACACCTCGCCGCACGCCGCACGCCGCGACCTGCTGACGCCGCACATCGCAGGACTTTCATCTTGCAATGGCGACGCAGTTGGCCCAGGCCGCCCCGCGGCGGACCGTCGCCACGGTCGAAGAACGGAGCCATCCGGAGGAGCTCCAGCGACCGACGAACGCCACACCGGGTGTGGTGGAACGAGATGTGGAGAGATCATCGGGTGCTGGGTAGATGAATCATGGGAGGGTGGTGGGTCGGATAGGACGGAACACCTCACCTCGAGGTAGATAGGAACTGCATGTCACCCGAAGCCTGTCCCAAAGAATTGGGCCACATGTCCTACGATTCGAGTCGTGCTTCGGAACGGACCGACTTTCGGCCGAAAGCTGTTGTGAGATCATGAGGGCGTCCGAATTCGCCAGCGAGACTCACATCCCTTGGTCGCAGGTTCTCAAAACCAGGCATTATCATGTTCATGCAGACCCCCACACCCACTTCAACCTGCCGGTGCTTCTCTCATGACAAGAACTTGACACATGTGAACATATCATTTTGAGGTATACCAGCAGGGGGCTGTCAGTCCCTCATGCTTCACCGCAGGTCGCAGAGATGGAGCCAGAGATTTCATCGGAAGAGGAGCAGGGGGGTGCTGGCATCTTTGAGCTTCTACCGGGCTGGGCCAAGCGGCAGGTTGAAATCAGGGACCGGGATCGGGACTTCTGGCTGTTCTTGTTTGGCAACACGAAAACAAGCTGCAAGTGGTCTTCAAAAGAAAGAATTTACTGTATACAGCTGACTTCATTTAGTCTTGCGCAACCTGAGTAGAACGTATACTGATTGGGAGCAGAACACATGTCATGTGGAGCAGGGGCGATCCCTTTATTGAATAATATCCTTTTGGGGGGATTTGTTGAATCTTGAAGAAAAGTAGATCCCCACGTAGAAAATGAATTGGACACCGTGCTACTATCTATACTATTTGGGGACCACATGTAATGACAGGCTGCAAGAAAAGATAACACAATTTGTTGAAAGAATCATAGTGGGATATGGTGGCAGTTCGGTAGAAGACCATGAAATCCGAAGACCAAACAGGTGGTGAACTCCATTTCCATGTGAATGACTCGGAAGTAAGGAACATGGTGTGCTCCATGCCCTCTCAAAGCCTCTCAAAACCAAACATGTGTTCTTTTGAGTTTCATCGAATTTCCGAATACCCAAGGGTTTTCCACTTCCATTTTGAATCTTGGTCTTCGAACTTCAAACCATACAGGACATACACCAAACCGTGCCTATGACTTTGCTGCTTTTTTTGTTTTTCTCTCGGGACCTTCACTGACACCACTCGACCTTTGTAGGACGTGCACGTCACCGCAAGAAGCACGAGTTCCGCTAGTGCGGAGGACTTGCTGGACATGGAAGGTGGGCGGAGCCCAGTAGGACTTGCGGACTCAAGTCAGCCACCGGATTGGTGAGAAACGCGGTGGTCGAGGACTGATTTTCCGGTCAAGTGTTGCCGATCAGACCTAAATGAACAGGAAATGCACGAGATCTCGCATGACTCAAGCTTTTTTGTTGGTGTGTCCCAAAAGCTACAATCCAATGGCAGCTTGCTGGGATTCCTATGGATTCCTTCACCTTAAGGCTTGTCGGCTTTAGCAGGCACGGCTTTGCTTCACATACTTCACCACTTTCTTGGTGCCGGGTGGAATTAGAACCACACCCCAAAAAAGGTTAAAGGACTGTTTTGCAACTTCAACAGCACCAAAAGCAGCAGGAAAAAAGAACAACAACTACTCAAGCTCCTTGTTTGGGGGTGCAAGAACCAGGTTTCTGATCGCTTCAGCCTCCCATGCGATCCCGGCTGCCGACCTCGCCTCGCCCGCTCCGCCTTCCCACCGACGTCCAGGTGAGCCAGAGCCAGTGGCGTGGGCGTCGAGGTGACTCGCCTGGTGGTAGAAGTCAAAGGGAGAGACAGTGTCCCTTTGCATACCTAGGATAGGCGCTAGGCCAGGTGTTAGTTACTTCAGAGCCAAAGGTGCAACTCAGGTGATCCAAGGATGAAAAGGCTCATGCTGAAAGGCCCAGTTGCAATAAGGCGGATCAAGAAACGGTCAAAGCACCCATGGTTTGGATGACTGCCAGGCGAGACAGTGGCCAAATTCATCTCAAATCTACAAGGTAGAAAAGGGACATCATTTCACAAGAAGTTTCACACTTTTTCCATCCAAAGCGGGTGTTCTTGATACACCAATGAACATCCATGAACTGTCCATTTCTGTAGAATGCACCCTTATTTTACACGTCCCATGAAGCTTAACAATAGCTTAAAAGTAAGACGTCCCACCTACCAAACCGGAGTTGGATTCCCCAGGTCCCACCTGGCGCCCATGTCCACCGGTCCAGCTGTCCCGGTCCCACCTGGACCTCCCGAGGTCGCCGGCCTCGCCGGTCTCGGGGACCGCGCCGTCCGACCTGCTGGACCTGCAGTCCGACCTCATCGATGCTGCGCGGAGCGTGAAGACCGGTGGGTGGGTGGTTTGAACATGTGGTGGTTTGAGGATGAGGTGCTTTTGGGTATGGTTTGGGTGAAGAAGATGAGGTGGCTTAGGAACTAGACTATACCAGACAATGGTCAAGCTACCAGGGTTTTGGAGGGAGGTTCCAGATTCCAGGTGTTACACCCACCGCCATGTGGCCTGCCCAGGGGTCGGAACCCCCGGGTGCACGCCAGGGTGAGAAAGGGTGTCTCCCTATGAACGTACACGACCTGTTTGGGACTGCCATATATGCCTACATTGACCCCCAAACCACACTAATGTAGAAAATTACACCACCGTAGGCCCCAAACAGGTGGGACAACAACGAAGCATTCCCAAGTCCACCTTTTGAGACATCAACAAGAACGGAGACAAGAAGGGAGACAAAAGGAAACAGAACGGAGACAAGACGGACACAATGGCCAACAAGAAGGGAGACAAAAGGAAACAGAAGGGAGACAAGACGGACACAATGACCAACAAGAAGGGAGACAAAAGGAAGCAGAGGGGAGACAAGACCGGAGAGAAAGAAGGAATGAAGGGAGACAAGACGGACACAGTGACCAACAAGCAGGGAGACAAGAGCGGAGACAAAGGGAGACAGAAAGGAGACAAGGCGGACACAGTGACCAACAAGAAGGGAGACAAGAAGGGAGACAAAAGGAAACAGAAGGCAGACAAGACGGAGACAATGACCAACAAGAAGGGAGACAAGACAACAAAAGGAAAAAGAAGGGAGACAAGGTGGACACAGTGACCCACAAGAAGGGAGACAGGACCGGAGACAAAGGGAACAGAAGGGAGACAAGACGGACAGTGATCAACAAGAAGGGTGACAAGAAGGGAGACAAAAGGAAACAGAAGCGAGAAAAGAACAAAAGAAGGGAAACAAGACGGACACAATGACTCACAAGAAGGGAGACAAGACCGGAGACAAAGAAGGAATGAAGGGAGACAAGGCGGACACAATGACCAACAAGAAGGGAGACAAAGAGACAGAAGGGAGACAAGACGGACACAGTGACCAACAAGAAGGGAGGACAAGACCGGAGTGACCCAACAAGAAGGGAGACAAGACCGGGCACAAAGGGAGACAGAAGGGAGTCAAGACGGACACAGTGACCAACAAGCAGGGGGACAAAGGGAGACAAGCCGGACGGAAGGCCGACACGCTGTCCTGTAGGCGGACATTCCTAGAAAGCCTTGAGAACCCCTAACAGTGACCTGTTTGGGAAAGTACAAAAATCACCTGAGAGACACATGAATAGAAATGCTGGAAAGGGGAAAAGGGCGGATGCCAGCAGTGCAGGCACCGACCTGGGAAACAAAAGTAAACAAATCACATGGGAAACAAATGAATAGAAATGCTGCATGGCCGGCGGAAAAGGGCGGACACCAGCAGTGACGGACACCACCAGTGACAGACCTGGGAGACAAATGAATAGAAAACACCAGCGGTGACAGACCTGGGAGACACATGAATAGAAATGCTACATGGCCAGCGGAAAAGGGCGGACACCACCAGTGACGACAGACCTGGGAGACAAATGAATTGAATAGAAATGCTACATGGCCAGCGGAAAAGGGCGGACACCAGCAGTGACACACCTGGGAGTCAAATGAATAGAAATGCTTTCATGGCCAACGGAAAAGGGCGGAAACCAGCAGCGACAGACCTGGGAGACAAATGCATAGAAATGCTACATGGCCAGCGGAAAAGGGCGGACACCAGCAGTGACACAAAGGGCGGACACATCTTAAGAAAGAATTGAAAACCCCTAGCAGTAAAATGGAGTGTTTGGGTCTTAAAATACGCCATACTTGGCGGTCGTGGCATACCAAATGCGGACCGTTTTCGTTTTTTTCGCGTTTCGCAACCCTGAAGCAATTGGACCCGGAATTCTCAACCAGGTCAACCGACCTGAGGTTTTGACCGAATCTTTACTTGAAATGAGCGATCCCACGGTCTCGGATGGGTCGTGACCCACCTGGAGCCCGATGTTTTTTTCGTCCACCATGCTGGCGAAGGACCGGGGTGTCACCGAGTGGCGGTTTTAAGGGGACCGGACCTGTTTTTTGACATCTCAGTTTGGTGAAGGGGGGGCAGTAGAGGAGGTCGGATTGATTGGAAGAAGTGGGGATTGTTGGGACTTGAACATGTAAATTGAACATCTGTCGGGAGGTCCACCAACCAGAGTTTTTGAGGGGTTGGTATTGACCTACACTTATTTAACATGTTGCATCATGTTGCAGAATGTTTTGAAAGACTGAAAGACGAAGAGCAGCATCACCCAAAAGTTGGTTATTAATTATTGGAAGGAAAATACATATCGTCAGTGGTGTCTATAGACCATTGTGGTGCTGGTATTGCAGGTAGATCCACAGGCGTTTGATTTCCATGGACACTTGCACTGTCTCAGACGGCCTCCACAGCACATATGAGTTTCCAGCTGTAAGTGGGTTCTTTCCAAGAAGCAAGTGGTGTGTTCAAGCAAAAACTCCCTTCCGGCTCAAGAGCTGCATGCACACTGTTTTCCCCCTTTGCCAACGGATCGGTCAGAGATACTTGGTAAGCATCTCGTGCAAAGTTCCCGGTATCGTGCTCGCAATTGGAAAACACCCGGTTGCAGTCGCAATTCCATACAAACCTCTTGTACCTGCAGTTCTTCAGCGCCTGGAGGATCAGGTTCCTTCTCCCATCAGCTGCTCTCCCAGGTCTCCTCTCCCCTCAGCTCGCCCGCCGCCGGCACCGGCGCCGCCGGCACCGGCGCCGACGCGGACGTGCCGGTCGAGGCGCGCGGATGACAGAGCTCCGGAGGACTTGAAACCACGCGGCTTCGGAAGTCCTATAGCACTATATAGATCTATATAGCTCAGAAATGTCCAACCAGAAATTCCGCGGGGTTTTAGATCTGTTTTTGTTGATCGCATGTCTTCCAGACAACGGGAAGGCCTTGAAACGTCCTCACGCGATGCCTTGAAACGTCCTGGACCTCACCATGGCTGCCTGGCAGGCTCCTCCGCCCGAGAAGCGTTCGAGGGTCGAAGAGGAGGTTGAACAGTGGCAGCGAGGTGCCTCGCTGCAGAGTGGCTTATCGGAGGATGTTCCGATGGGGTGGCGACTTCCAAAAAGAAATGGTCCGGCATAGACGTAGACCGGAGTTAGACGTGGTCCTGGGGAATTCCTCTAAAAACCCAGGCGGGAGCGAGACCTCGGACTGGTAATCGACTGAGTTCTGAGACTTGGGGGGCATCGGTAGATGGCAGTTCTGAGTTCTGAGACTTGCATGGGCAAGCTGCGTAAACGGTTTTTGCATACCCCCAACTACAAGTAGTTCCCGGGCAAGCCGGCGGCGGAAGTTTCCTATAAGAAGAAATTGACCTATAGGAGTGTCCACGTTCTCTCCAACATGCGCGTCCTCCAGTCAAATGCACGCGCTCCGGACTTGTGCCCCCTGCAGGATCAGCAGCTCACAACAGCGTACTGGGTTGTATCTTCGCCACGACAAGAGGGGTGTATGACGAGTGGTGTATGATGAGTGGTGTATTGACCAGCAGTTGAATGTCCTGTCCTGCATAAATGCAACCAAATACTATCAGTATGAACTGTGCCAAACCTGCACGCCGCGAGAGATGACTCAGCAGCGAGAGATGACTCAGCCGCGAGAGATGGCTATAGCGAGAGCTGACTCAGCAGCGAGAGATAAATGAGCAGCGAGAGATGACTCAGTCGCGAGAGATGACTCACAGCAGCGAGAGCTGACTCAGCAGCGAGAGATGACTCCTCCGCGTACTACACTTGTACTACAAACTGGCCAGTTCTCAGCTTCCAGCTCCACAGCTTGTTCCGCGTGCTAAAGTTGTACTAGAAAGTCGCCAGTCAGTTCTCATCTTCCAGCTCCCCAGATGCTCCGCGTACTGCAGTTGTACTACACAGTCGCCAGTTCTCAGCTTCTAGCTGCACAGATTGCTCCGCGCACTAAAGTTGTACTACAAAGTCGCCAGTTCTCAGCTTCCAGCTCTACAGATTGCTCCGCGTACTAAAGTTGTACTTGAAAGTCGCCAGTTCTCAGCTTCCAGCTCTACAGATTGCTCCGCGTACTAAAGTTGTACTAGAAAGTCACCAGTTCTCAGCTTCCAGCTCTACAGATTGCTCCGCGTACTAAAGTTGTACTAGAAAGTCGCCAGTTCTCAGCTTCCAGCTCCACAGATACTCCGCGCACTAAAGTTGTACTACAAAGTCGCCAGTTCTCATCGTCCAGCTCGCCAGATACTCCGCGTACTAAAGTTGTACTACAAAGTCGCCAGTTCTCAGCTTCTAGCTCACAGATTGCTCCGCGTACTAAAGTTGTACTACAAAGTCGCCAGTTCTCAGCTTCCAGCTCCCCAGATGCTGTGCCTGCCACGAAATCTGCCCATGGAGGTTCACAAAGTGCTGCGCCTGCCACGAAATCTGCACCTCGACGCTCACAAAGTGCTGTGCCTGCGAAGAAATCTGCACATGGAGGTTCACAAAGTGCTGCACCTGCCACGAAATCTGCACATGGAGGTTCACCAAGTGCTGCACCTGCCACGAAATCTGCACATGGAGGTTCACAAAGTGTTGTGCCTGCCACGAAATCTGCACATGGAGGTTCACAAAGTGCTGCACCTACCACGACATCTGCACATGGAGGCGCACAAAGTGCTGTGCCTGCCACGAAATCTGCACATGGAGGTTCACGAAGTGCTGTACCTGCCACGAACATGGAGGTTCCCAAAGTGCTGTGCCTGCTAGGAAATCTGCACATGGAGGTGCACAAAGTGCTGCACCTGCCACGAAATCTGCACAGGGAGGTTCACAAAATGCTGCACCTGCCACGAAATCTGCACATGGAGGTTCCCAAAGTGCTGTGCCTGCCAGGAAATCTGCACAGGGAGGTTCACAAAATGCGGCACCTGCCACGAAATCTACACATGGAGGTTCCCAAAGTGCTGTGCCTGCCAGGAAATCTGCACATGGAGGTACACAAAGTGCTGCACCTGCCACGAAATCTGCACATGGAGGTTCACAAAGTGCTGTGCCTGCCAGGAAATCTGCACATGGAGGTACACAAAGTGCTGCACCTGCCACGACATCTGCACATGGAGGTTCACAAAGTGCTGCACCTGCCACGAAATCTTCACTTCAAGAAACAAGTGAAAACTCTAATCCCAATGGACGGACGATTCCGAGAATGATCCGAGCATGACCCGAGACCGTCTCGCGCCCGTCGTTCCGCAGACCTTG